AGAAACCCCAGGAGGAAATTTGATTGCACAACGATGCGTGTTAGGTGAATCCATTTTTTCCTCATGTTTCTCTCTCTCTTTTTTTTACAGAACAAAATGTGAGAACCCAATTTGTTTTTGAGAAGCTGGGAGAGATCAGATCAGAAGGATATTGTATTCTAAGAGTTTTGTGCTTAAATTTTATGTATAATTGGATGTGAGATTCGAACTCATAACCTTGCATGCAGAGATATGTATCAATTACGGCGGAACTAAGTCCATGTCGGCGAAACTTCATGTATAATAAAAAGATTAGAAAGTTTGAAAAACAGACTGAAAAGATGGGATGGGGGAGAAAAAAAAAGTCATGGGGTTTCATCTTTTGTGTGTAGAAATGTTGCCCCTAAATTAGCTTTGCTTGCAGAGAGTTACAAAGAATATGTGAGCTGAGGAGAAGCTTGAGGACCTTTCACTTTATGAAGCAATGAGAGAGAGAGAAAGAAAATGGAATTCAAAGTTTGAGGGGTTTGAATTCAATTTCCTTTATTGGTTTTTAAGCTCAAGACTGTCATGATAGCCATTTTGCTTGGTTTCTTGCTCACTCCCCACTTTCTTAAAACACCGTGTGGGTCAGATTTGGGCTTCAAAAATCCTCCAATTTCTTATGTGCTTCTCTTTTGCTTTGCCTCATAATTACTACCTTTGAAATTTCAAGGATCACACCTCAAAAATATATCGAATACTCAACTAATTTTGGGATATATAAACAATACAGCAAGAAGAATTTCACCTCGAAAATGCATGAACTACTCTTCTTATTRTCCGTTGATTTTGATATAAAACTCTATGGAAGGAAGAAGAACCAGAAGATCTTCCCTTACATAAATATTAATCCYCATTCCCGACCAACTTGAATTCAAAAAAGTTTTGAGAACCACTTTATGGTTAAGGGATGTTTTTCAAAGCTTAGGGTATGATTATGAAGGCATAATTGGGAAGGAATATAATCTGAGTCTAGCTAACATGAGCATAGTTTGGTAATTGACATATACTCCTTCCCTGAAGGTCGAAAATTCGATCTTTTATATCTCCAAATTGTTGTACTAAAAAAGAATATAATCTGATTCYAAGTTTATACTATTTAAGACTAACTATTCGAATTATTAATTTTTTTTTTCACTAATGGATACTTTGATCAAGGTTTAAATGCTATAGAAAAAGTCCAAAAAGAAAGTTTTTGAGAAAATGTTGAGAAAAAATAACAAATGCAACTTCTAAAAGAGGAAACTAAAAGGTCTTAAATTTGGCAGAAATTTAAAAGGAAGGGGAGCAAACTTCATTAATTATTATTGGCTGCAATTTTTTGTTAAGATTTTTTCTTTTATATAGATTAAAAAGAAAAGAAAAGAAAAGAAAAGAAATGCCACGTGGATTATCAGAAGGAATGGGAATAGAAGTATTTATGTACTTGAAAATTCTGTTGGGGGTCAAAAAGATGATGAAGGGAGAGATTGAGAAATATATTTTTCCCATGCTCTGAAAAAGCCATTATTTGGGAATTTCTTCTCAAAATCTCTTTCCCCAAACACACTACTTTTTTGTGAGGAGATGGATGCCTTTCTTTTTTTTTCCATGACTTGACCACTTGAAAATTCTCACAAAAAGCATTCCCATTCCACATGGAAATTTTCAAAACAAAAGCTTAGAAAAGTTTGTTGAAAAAAAAAAAGGAGAAGAAAGATAGAAAGAAAGAAAGATTGGGATTTTGTAAGGCATCACAATCACAAAATATATTTTTCTTTTCTTGAATGTGGATTTTGCCATTAAAAGGTTCATGGATGAACTTGTTCTTGGGTCCTTATATGCTTTGAAGAAAGATTCCTCTTTTTAATTAGGTAAAAAGAAAATATATATGCCCAAAAAAATAAAAAGAATAAAGTTGATTGGTAAGGATTTGTCTCGATAATGTTGTTATGGGGTAAAATTAAGCACAACACGTGGCCTTCTCCTGTTTGGACACGTTTGTTCAAGATACTCTGAAGAGGAAGAGGAAGGGTCCGCGACTTTGGAAGTAAAGYTCAACTTGGTTCTAACATGGGGAAGATTCTGACCAGCAAGGAATTTGCTGACGTTTCTTGGGAGTGATGGCTGCTATAAGAGAATCTTCCAATTTTTGGTAAAAAAAATTTGTTGAATAATAGGTATGACAACAACAGAGTCTCAGTTCTCATTGCTCCTCTCTTAGAAAAGGTATGGAATCTCACATTCTCAAAAGGTACGAAACTTCTTACATTCTACCTAAGTTTACCTTGAAACTAAAATCAGACTTAATATTAACTTGAGTTTCGCAGCGTAAGTGGCTGAGCACCACACACATAACACTATTGTTGTTGTCGCTGACATGTCATCTCAACTAGAATCACAAATCAACCAATGTTATTTTTTTCTCTCTCATTTTTTTATGGTAGTTCTGAAATATATTAATCTACCATCCATGTAAACAAAATGAAGCAATGATTTAAAATATAAAATAAGTATTCATAATATTTTCTTAACAATTAAGATAATTTGTTCAATCTAGATATATCACTGGAAATTTTTCACGGTGTYTTTGAAACTATTTAATGGTCAAAGCTTAACGCTTATTTTCATACTCGATCTCCTTCAACAAATACTAAATCAAATAAATTATTAATCTATGTTCTTGTGTTTCATATTAATAGACTCAATTTTAAAGTTTAAAGTTTTAAATATTAGAACAATCTATGAACTTTGAAGCAAAGCAATATAATGTGGTGGTGATATTGAAACTTTTGTACTTTTGTTCGGGCTCATTGACCACAGAGGTCGTACTACCTAAAAGTGCAAAACTCGTGGGCCTTGGGCCCGAGTCGGCCCAAGAAGTGAAATCACGTGTGGAAATTTTTTTTTTTTTAAGTTAATGTGGAAAAATATCTTAACATGTCCTTAGAACTTTGTAAAAAAATTAAAATATATGTATATATATATCTTTAACATGAATCGATAATTGACATATATCTTCATTTGACCGTCTATTGTGTCTTAACCATTTTCAAATAACTCCATTACTTTTGATAAGTGTTAAAATTGGATAATGACAAACTTATATAACATAATACACCTGGATAAATGAATAGAAATTTAGAGGAGTAAAAGTCTTCAATTATTCATTTAAATTTCACCGAAATTGATAAAAATTTGGAGTCTTCTTCTCTTAAATGATATTTTTTTCTCTTTTGAATTTTACCAATTCACGCACTATTATGTTTCGGTCATATATTATTATTGAAATAAACTATTTATTTTGCAGCAAAAATTTGGCCTTAGACTAAATTTAAAAAAATGTTAAAAGTAAAACAGGACTAAATTAAAACTTTATAAATAATAAAAATTAAACGGAAAGAACTCGTAAAAATTAAAACATATATTCAGCTAGAAATATATATAAATAAAAGTATCAAAACTAAAAAATGTTCAAAGTTGATAAAAAAGTCAACAAAATGTGATTTTAATTTCAGAACCGTCAACGGTTCTGATAGCGCCACGTCATAAGTATATTTCGCTTGGAAACAGATCGCCGGCCTGGCAGCTTTTTCTGTTTTTTTAATCATTATTTTATCCAACAGCTCCATCTCTCTAATTCCTACGTGAATCTGTCTCGCAGAGGGCAGAAACTGGTGGAATTCAATTTCTGAGGAACAAGGCGTAGAACACATTTTGAATGTAGTTCCAATCGTTTTGGATTCGTCTCATTTTCTGGCTCCGTGGAAACAAAAATGGAGGAAACTTTCTTCGATCTTGTGGAGTTTCTGAAGAAACCCTCAATCGCGGAAACATTCGTCGACATTTTGCTATGCGCAGTTCCGATCTGGCTCGCGGTCATGATCGGCTTGGTCATCGGCTGGTCATGGCGGCCTCGGTGGACCGGATTGCTTTTCCTTGGCTTTCGGAGCAAGTTCAGAATATTATGGACTGCTCCCCCGGGGTTTGGAGCTCGGCGCCTCTGGTTGGCCTTCACGGCTCTCTCTGCCTTCTCCGTCTGCCGTACTCTTTGGTCCAATTTTAATGGGAAGAGGAAAGCGATACCCGCACCGCCGACCCCGGATTCTCCGGCGGAATCCATGTCAATGCACTCGGCTGAAGGAAACGGGGACACAATTGCGTGAGTTTGAAATTTACTTTGTTTCTTGTTCATATTTATAATTAGTCACTTCCGCGTCATCTTTGAAGAAAATAAATGTTGTTGTTCTAGGAGAATTCCTTGTCTGCTGACTGTTGTAATATGACTGCTTTGGGCTTCATAAGCAATATCTTTGATTAATTCCATGTTGTGATCATGTTATGTATGCCGTTGGATAAAACAGTTTCTCATGCGAAATTATCTTTGTTCACTTCTCCAGCAATACAGATGTGGAAAAGGAGCAGGATACTGTTACGGAGAAGGATTTAGATCATCTATTGCAACTTCTTGAAGGAAGAGATGGAGAGGCAGAATGGCAACATATGATGCAAAGGTCCACCCCAAATTTCGGATATCAAGCTTGGCGCCTTGAGCCTGAGGTATTGGGTCTATGAGGATTGTAGCTCGAATTTACCATCTTTTGCGTTATTAGAATTTCGAAGAGCTCTTTGGCGTTCTCTTTTTACATTTTTTTCCGCACTTGGAGTAGTCTTTTGCCATCCTTTAAAGTTCTTGATTTTGCACATTCTTTGATTTGTTGCTTTTGAAACCCTTTGCATTAATCTTAGAAACTCTTTAATCTTTCATTGAGAACAATAGAAAGAGGGGAGAGGGGAGAGGGAGAGCCCCTCTAACCAGGGAAGCTTTACAAAAAAAACCTCCAGTTGGTGCATATCAAAAGAGGGGGAATCACGTAATTTCGAAAATTGTATGCCACTTGGAAGCTACCATAGTAACTTAAGTTCATTAAAGTCTTTATGAATCTCCTGTATTCCTCCTTAAACTTCTAAAGTTTTGCTGGGATTGCATCTTCTGGAAGAGTATTAGCTTGTTTTTCTAAAATCTGTTGATGATTTTCAAACTCAGACTCAAGAAAGAGGTGGTTTACTTTTGGTTAACCAGTAAGGAGGCAGCTGCATTATGGGAAATTTGTTTTCTACTTTTAATCATTTGTGTTCAGTTTTGGCAAAGCTATGGTTCAAATTGTAAACCTAAACTTGTTAGCCTTTCTTTAATCACAAATTCTTACTCTAAAATTTGTACGGTACCACATTTTCATGTTGGAMTGTGCCATGGGTCCTTTCTGCGTCTGCCTTTTCTATGCACATATCACATGTAGCATTGCACCATTGTCTTTGGGCAATAGGTGTCTATATCAAATTGTTATCTTTAGCTTTGTAGTCATGGTGCAAGCAATGCAAGTTGTGACCAATCACGGCTTTTTGTGTGCAGGATATTTTTCCATGTTTTGCATCTCTCATTTCCTCACTTCAGCTTTAGCTTATGATTTCTGTTCTAGATGTATTATAAAGTTCCAATATCTTTCTTTTCCCCCTCACCAGAACAGACCAACAATTTATCGTAGCAGAACTGTCTTTGAGGATGCAACCCCAGAGATGGTTAGAGATTTTTTCTGGGATGATGAGTTTCGGACTAAATGGGATCCCATGCTTACGTATTTCAAAATATTGGATGAATGCCCTCATACAGGGACCATGATTGTTCACTGGATTAAGAAGGTTTGTAGGACAAGGAGATACCTGAATATCTTTGGAGTATAATAGCATTAACTATTTTAGAATTTATGTGGGTTAATACCTCATTTTATATTCCTTTTTTGCAGTTTCCCTTTTTCTGCAGTGATAGAGAATATGTCATGGGTCGTAGAATATGGGAGGCTGCAAAGGCTTACTATTGCGTAACAAAGGTAGATATTGCACCTTGTTCAAAAAAATTTTGCCTGCTACTCCATGTTGCTAGCTACACTTGTCTTGACTTGCTCTAGCCACCCTCCATTGCTTACTTCAATTATATTTGGCTGCCATTATGGCATGATTGTATGCCTAGACTAGATGTCTGAACTTTTAGATCTCCTTTGGATGGTGAGAAGATTCTATGGGAAACATCAAACAACATGTGTGATCAGAGGGAAGGAACATATTGAAGAAACTAATAGCAGTTAGGCAGTTAGCAAACAGTTTAAGTTGCTCTAGTTCGGCCCCTGTCTAGATTACCAGATGTTATCACAATTGGTTGTAYGTATGCTAGAAAACTTGTTAGACTAAAGGACTTATATGACCGACCTGTAAATAAGTAGTAGAAAATATCAAATAAGATCTTAAACTTAGTTTCCTTGTGCTCTGCATTCTCTATCTATTTCTTTTTGCCATCCAACTCTGGGTTTTCCAAAGAGTTCACATAATAAAATTTATATTTTGATTTATGATTGTAAGCACAGCCCTGATCTCCACACATGTCTTGCTGACTTGCAAAAGTGGAATTTGATTATGTGCTCTGTCCATATTGTGACGTGTCTAAGTAGAATATGGAACTTTGCTTCTACAGGGCGTGCAATATCCAAGCTTACCCAGACGTGATAARCCTAGGCGTGTAGATCTTTGTTTTTCAAGTTGGATCATCAGGGCAGGTGAGGACTTAGAGAAGATTTCTTTTTCTTCTTTCTGAAAATTGCAGGATTTGGTATGCAAATTTGTTTTGATTAATATCCTAACTTGTTGAATCTGAAAACGTATGCAGTGGAGTCTCGTAAAGGAGATGGATTATGGTCTGCTTGTGAGGTCATCCTTGTGCATTACGAGGATATGGGAATTCCCAAGGATGTGGCTAAGTTGGGAGTCCGTCATGGAATGTGGGGAACTGTCAAGAAGTTGCACTCTGGTTTCAGAGCATACCAGAATGCTAGGAAATCAGATATTTCTGTTTCCAGAAGTGCACTGATGGCGAGAATCACCACAAAAATATCTTTTGACAGAAGCACGGATTCCTCGGATCCAGAATCTGGTGAAGTACGAACTCTAGTAATGAAGAGAAAGCACCAAAAAGATTCTGGCATAGATTGGAAGTGGATACTCATTGGTGGGACTGTGGCTGTGGTCTGTGGACTTCGAACAGGTGCCATTGGGAAGGCAATGCTACTTGGGGCAGGACAGAGAATGGCCCGAAGGTGAGAGATATTTAAACTAGGCATTGTATTACTATGCATTTTGAAGCTCGAGATGTCTCTTATTAATAGTCCGACATATCAAATCAACCATTATTGAGATTAACATGTGACCCATTTTTATGAATGGCTGTGATAGAGTAAGCCTCCCCCATGTACAACCTTCTGTATTTCTGACCTCCCAGTCCCAGATTTTATRTGTCTCTGTTGCTGAAATGATTTAGTATATGAAGTTATAATGGAACTCAATAGAGATTTGAGCCACCCTTTCTCTTCTTGAACTTGATTATGATAGGGACTTGAGATATTTCCTTGAGAATCAATTAGCTCTGCTCTGGTGGATATGTAAATTAATGGGGAGGTTTGTTAATGTATTAATACCTATAATGAAGTTTGATGAACACCCAGTTTATTTGTTCTTCTGATTGTGTATAGATGACTTCAGCTGTTTAAATGGGCTATGTTTCTTTGTCAAGTAGTCACATAGGGATTAACTGGGCTCGTTTTTGGGCCTAATATTTGAATATCAAGTTCATAATTTCCTCTAACATACTGACAAAAGCAAGTAGGAAAGAACAAATATTCTGACAGGGGCAAGACGGGAGAGAACAAACGTAGTACAAACATGTCTGTCAATGAATCAAGGCTGCTCAATCAATTTGTGATGATTATGATTTTTGCTCCAATCATTGTGAACTTTTGGAAAAGAAAATTTGAAGTTTGATTTTTGGACCTGTACTAACTTTTATACCGAGAGAATTTACATACCAAATACAGATTTAACTATGACATCCCCTTTGTATATCGTATTTTTACGCACCTCATTGAGAGTGTAAAAGTAGGCATCACATCAAACGGAAGGCGGTCGTGATCATTGACAACTAGGAAATGACCCAAAAATTTAATAAGATAGGCAAGGCAAAGGAATGGTGTTGTGGAGCCATTCAACAAAGACAAAACTGATTAGTCCCAAGTGTGTAGAATGGTTAAGAAATGGATCTGATCTGTGGTTGCCATTGGCCCCTAACCAAAAACCTAATAAATGGGGTCCCAACTTTCTCCATTTGTCAAATTCCTTGTCGCTATCTTTTCAGTTCCATTTTTGCCACATCACGTTTAGAGCCTAACCATAACCATAATCATAATCATAACCATCCCCCCTTCCGTATCCTCTCCCTAACATAACAATTGTTTTTTGTCACAAAAGATTGTCTTTTCAAATAATTCAAGAGCCATTTCCTTGGGTAGCAATATCTTTTAACCTTCCTTTTTTTAAAAAAAAAAATTCCATTTTTGACCCCCACGACCTTACGAGAGGTGAAGTCTAGAAAATGCAGACTTATCCAAATCTAAGATGGTCTTCAGATCAACACAAGTCCTTCTAGCATGCTTTGTTTTCAGTCACATGGTTCCTAGTAAAGAAGTCGATGATCTCAGGATCTTTCTTATTTTAATGTGGTATCAGGTCATTCATGTACTTCTACTCTCTACTCGGGTGTCACAATTACTTACCTTCCTAAAAGTTAGAGATTCAAATACACCAAACGCGAATTTGGTACTCTTGAATCTTTCATCAAACTCATTTATTGGGTTAGGGAAATGACCTTATCCACTTTTGTCACATGGCTAAAAAGAAACTAAACCAATGGTTGTAAATTAGAATGTTGAAGCCTTGAAAGCAACTTGACCACTCAAAAATCAATGAATTCTCAAGTTTCCTTCATAATGCTTCTATACCCATTATCCAACTCTAGTATAGTTGTATAAGCGGAAAGTTTAGCTTCTCACCTTAATACCATCCAAAAAGAAAGTCTACCGATTCTCTACCTCACAATTATTAAACTAAAAAAAAAATTTACATCCATATTTGTAATGTTATATTCTAAACCACTTTTATAATCTTTAAATATATGCTTTTTTAAAAATGTTGGATATACAGAGAAAAAATCAATAAATTTGCTTTTTAAAGAACGATTGAAGGAGAACATGAGAGATAAAATGTTAGGAGGGAGCTACAATAAAACCATAGGTGGAGCATCGAGAAGAAAGAAAGAGTAACATTTTGAAAAAGAAAACCATATATTTAACAATAACTTTCACGATCCAACTCTTAGGTTATACACTTCTAAGCTTATTTAAATATAGCTCATTAAATTTTATTGGTCTGAAAAATTCTCATACTGTATAATAGTATGAAAATTTTTCATATTACTCCTACCAATAAAAATAGAGTAACAAAATAACTCACACCAGAAAGTCAACAAAAATTCCAATTATCTTCGCTCATATGGAGGTAAATATTTTTTTTTTCTACAATTATTCATCATCCCATCATTATTTAACTAACCATCGTAGATTAATCTAAAGACGAAAAATTTTAGATGGTATGGTGGTCATTTATCTAAGATAAAATTATTAATTTATCTATAATTCGGTATTATAAAGTCGCGCGGCTTGTCCGACAAGATTTAGTAGAGATTATTCACAGTATAAAAAATTGCTTTCATTAGAACACATAAAACTTTGGATAAGATAATGGCCACAAGATGACTATGGGTGGTGGGATTATCACCAAAAGGAATATCATTACTCATATGCCAAATATATCAACAAGTGGTGCCAAAAAAACAAAAACAAAAAAAACACTAATAAAAACCCTTAACAACAAGTGGTGCCAAAAGATAACCCAACCAATCTACCTCATAAAATCAAATGCTCATATCCCTATTCTTTGATTAAAAATAGGTTAGGTAGATTTCGTTGGATTTGTAAGGGTAATGCAAATAAAAGGCCACATTGGTTAGGGAAAAATATGATTCATAGTATCAAAAGTAAGGTCGTGAGGGATGTGCCTAAAGTAGACAATATTATACCAATTTCTTAACTTAGTCTTCAAATAATCTCACTTATTTTTTATTTTCTAGAATCTAAATTTAATTTATGATCGCTGAGCTATATTTTATTGGTATATTTATCTTATTTAAGTTAATATTTAAATGTTATTTCATAAAAAATTGCTAAACTTTATCCATATATATTTTTTAATACACCAACATGTGAATGTGGAGATTTGAACACATGACTCTTTGATCATATATACGTCTTAATCAGATCAACTATACTCAAACAGACAATTTGTTAATAAATACTCAAACAGACAATTTGTTAATAAAAAATTGATGTTTCGCTAAAAAGTTTGTTTTATTAGATATTTAAATATCTAAATATCACTTGATACGTGAATTTGGATAAATTTAATCCCTCCACCATGAAACATTCATTTATTCTAAGGAGACATCTAAATAGTTTGTTTACGTGTCTAAATACATGACCATTAAAATAATATTTTAGTTTGACGATATAAATTTTTTATTACTAAAATTTAATAGCTTTTTCACAATCCAGATGGTTAAATACAGTAGCTTTTTTTTAATGCTATTAAATAATTTGTAAAAGTCAATAACAACTGTTTTACAAATTATAAAATTCATAATCCAAAATATAAGCCAATCTAAGTAAAACTTAGTCCGAGTTTGAATTTCAACTTCTACATCTTTTTTAATAAAAAAGAATTTGAAGACCAAAAGTTTATGAATAAGAACAAACTTTTAGTTTCTTTTAATAAATTTCAACGTCCACACGATTTCATAAAGAATTCCCCGAAAGCATATCCCATATTACTGTTAATATCGCAGTAATCTTTCTATTATTGGTTAGAAAACAAGCCGTTTTCTTTGCTACAAAAATTTGTCTTTTGGCTTCAAAGTCAGATTAACATAGATATTAGATACCCCATTAAGCTAATAATCTCTTAATCCGAAATCTCAAATGGTTTTAACTTTTTTTTCGTTAAGCTGAATTATCTTTTTGCTTTCTCTTCCTCTTCTGGGATTTTTTGTCCCGAAAAAGGAATTTTGATTTTTTCCCTTTTTTCTTGGTGCTGAAGCGAACACCCAACAACTGAGCAAGAACAGTAACACTAAGCGCAGTTGGCAGCTGATACAGTTGGGCACATAATTCTCAAATAGTGTGGACTGGCATGCATTCAGATACGTGTCCAATTTGTATCCTCATATTCCAGAATCTTTGGAGATCAAAGTTTTAAAAAAAGCCTCGAGAGCTTCATGAAAACTGTGACCGCAAGACGCATGGCAGTCCCGTCTGTCTCACTCTGAACTTTCCCTCTCTCTCTTTTTATCCATCCATTCCTCCCTCGCTCTCTGTGTTCATTTTCCGTCTCCTTATAGTTGTTTTTGTTAAGGGGTTTTTGAATTTTTGATATTTTCAATCATTTTCGTGTCGTCTGTTGAAGTGAGCAGCAGAAGAAGGCGATTTTTATGGATTTGAGGGATGAGAGGTATGTGGGTATCCCTTGATTTCAGTTTGCTCTGATGGGTGTCTTCCAATTTTGCTGACTGTTCCCTTTTTGTGTTTCTTTGTTCTAGTTTTTTTGTTGTTGTTCTTAGTCCTTCCCCTTTCTCTCCATGGTTCGTTAATTTGGTTTGGTGAAATTTGAACTTCTGGTGTGCTTTGTATGGCTTTGAGTGTATACCTAATTTGTGATTGCTTCTCTCTGGGCCACATTTGGATTGTGATAATTTTAGTTGGAGATCTTTTTTCATGGAGTAGCTTGGAACTTAATGCTTTATTATAGTTATACGAGAGAAAATGAATTAACATTACCTTAGCACATCTTACTATTCCAGTACTTTGGATAGCTCTTTACATAAACTGCAACCCAAACGTGTTGATTCTTCTTCTTCTCTAGGAATTGGATCCACATGGAGAGTGGCCAACTTTTTAAAGATGGGACTGTTGAGATTGTCCAGTTACATCTTATCCAAGTTAATTTGTTATTTTTAATCCTTGAGATGAATTATCAACTTTTTGGAGGTTTCTTGCTTGTCTTTATGTAATGTCCTGTAAATAATGTGTGTCGTCAGATTACTCTTTTTTACTTTTGGGTTTTTTGTGCCTAAAATAATTGTCATTAAGTTGAACAGACACGTGTGTTAAGTTTTACCAAGGGATTTAGTAGTTAGGCATTCAACTATGGATGCTCAAATTCATTCCATTTCAGCATCATCTTCTTGCATTTTTATGTGAAAATGGCGAACATTGCATTAGCCTCTGGTAAAACGAGCTTATGAATATTCTCTTGATGTAACTAGGAAATCATAGATCATGACCGAATACAAGTCGTCATATATTTCCTTCTGCCTGTAAATTCAAAGTTGCCATTCCTAGTCTTCTCAAGACTTCTAAATCACCAGTGTGGTACTGTTAGTGATGTGCAGATTCTGTAAAGAGAGCTCATAGAAATCACTCTACACTCCGCAGGCTCTTTCAGTATGTCTAGAAAGAGAAGATTGTGCACAATAGTTTCTCTAAATGAATGTTTGAGCCTGGAAATATCACAACCATGATAGGACATAACAGTCACATGTGTAAATTTAGGGTAATGAAATGGGACATTATGGTCATGTTCGATAACGTTCCTGTTTCTTCATTTTTAATATAGAAAAATTAATTGCATCGTCCCAACCTTCATGAATTCAAGTATGATAAAACAATCTTTTATTTATATTTTGGAACAAATTGGAAATGGAAACAAGAAAGAATAAACTTGTTTTGGGTACAATTTTGAGAATGTTCCAAAAAAAAGGGAGAAACAAGAAATATAGTTAGTTGCAAAATGCTTAGATTTCTTAAAATAATTGAAAACGAAAAACAAGAGACGAGAACGTTACCAAACGGGCCGACATTGTTTGCTTAACTTTCTTCTTTTATGTTCTGAATCATTAAGTGCTTGCAGGGTCAGA